ATGCTTGCACTGCGGATATTCTTTAATGACATAAAGTCAGAGGAGCATGGAAACTGTAAATATCCATGAGCACATCAAGCAATGAAAACACCACAGTAAATGTGTGAGAGAGGTTGAGAAACAGCAAGATGCTTGTGTAAGCCCTGACAAGTGCTGTCAATAAGAACCAGTGATCACCTTTACTTTCCAAGTAAACTGCTACAACAAATCTCTTAACACGTTCTCACGTTTTACCATGTCTAATTATACTTACTGTAAAGGGTTTTGCAGTTCCCTTGTCATCTTTACTTGAAATAATCTTGGCATTTTTTCTGGTTTCTCTCAAGCGGTCAAGTGATGGAGGTTTTATAAATATAACAAATGGTTTAAACTCGTATGTCCGCAAGTGTTTCACTGTCTGGGAAGCGGAAAGATTTTAATTAATTAGTTTATTTTGCACAATGGAATTTACTATAATAAAAGAAAGTCCCCACTGACCATAATAAACCCATAAAGCATTTATAGGCAGGTATTTTTCATTTACTGCCATCCTGCTGTGCTGACCAGCATTGATTCATGTACAGAGAATTTTCAGAATGGTAAGAAAACCCTTTCTCCAAGGGTGACCACTGGTCTTGATTTCCACACTGCTGCTGGTAAACCCCATGAAGTCTGGCAAAGCTTGAGTTGTGCACACTGGTGCCACTGGCCATGAGAGAATGGAGGGGAACAGCAGGTAATCAGGGGAGGAGGAAAAGTTCGACCCATTTTAACAAGAATGCAACCACATCTTTTTGTACCCATGAAAATTAGCAGAAAGAGGTGTCTGTGACACTTGTTCACAAAAGGGAAATGATTTTTCTCTTCAGTACTGCGTGCCCACCACACAACTCTCTGCTGTTCACTTTTCCTGAGTGAGCTATGTGTGGTGTTAGAGGCAGGTCTACGATTCAGTTGCAGCACAGGGTAGATGGTCAGAAGCTTTCTATCCTCTCCACACTGCCACGGTCCACAGGAACATCCCATGTGGGACAGGGGGATCCCAGAATGATTCACAAGCTTGGGTCCCCAAGCAAACTTAGTGCTTTTCAGGAACACAGGGCTGTGCGGGACAGGCAATGGTCTCATCAGCTCTCCTCTTCCCCTGGCACAGGCTATGGCTTCCCTGGCCACCACTCCTCTGCCAGTGCAACCCCTGCCCTGCTCCCAGGGCACAGCCCCACATCCAAAACTGCCCTGGGAGCTGTGCACAAACTGCCAGGGCTCACAAGCCATACATTGGCCACCCTTGGAGAAGGAGAAGAGATGCTTTGGCTTGCTTTAAACAAACTAGTCCAGCTCCTAGAAGCACTGTGATTATTGGGAGCAAAAAATTCCCAATGGAGCTGTACAGTGGGGTTGAAAGACAAGGTCAGTGCAAGAAAAAATGGTTTAGAGAGGAATATTCTTAACAATTATCCAGCCAACATCACATTTAGTGCATTCCTTGACTCATGTCCACCCTGCATGGAAACCCTGGCATGAACAGTCTAGTGAAACGTGAGATAGAGTTGCTGGACTCAGTGATAACGCAAAACTATTCTGCAATTAAAGTTTCAGAGACAATCTCTTGCCCAAACTAACAGAAAGATAAATGGAAATATAGGAGCATTCTGTAATTAAATCTTTGGTATTATGCTGCAGGCTTCCAACTCCCTTATTTACTGGCTGTATATTTATCTCTTTTCAGAGAGCCTTGCTGAGATAAAGGTAGCCAGCAAATCCACTCAACAGTTGTTCAGTGTGGGATAAAGTACACCTTTTTAGAAATATTTTTTTGCCGGACTTCCAAAATGCAATATGGGGAAGTACAAGAGTTCAGAAGACATGCTTACTTACATGAGGTTGCACATCCAACAAACAAACTTTGTTTTTAGCTAGAACTGATCGAACAGAGTCTAAACTTGTACCATAGTAGTTGTTCTTGTACTCGCCATACTCGATAAACCTGTGGCAGAAGGTGAAAACAACTGGAATAATTTTCATTTTCTCCAGAAAAAAAACTTACTAGTTTGTTTTATAAGATTTAATTCAGGAGCAAAAATATTTTACTTTACATGAGAGTTCTACTGTGTTTTATAAAGGAAATGCTGTCAAGTACTTCAGCATGTCAATTTTAAGAAATCTTCTACTTTACTGCTTTCAAATCAGTAACACCTGCTTGTATTACAGTTAAAGAGAAAAAAGCACTGTAGTCCAACAGCCCACTAATGTTTTCCATCACCTCTTTTTCTGAACTAATGCAATGCAATAAAACAGTGGATAAGCTAAACAATAGAAACTACTGAAATTTCATTGCACACTACAGAATATCCAAATTCTCTGTCTCAGAAGAGGAGGAGTGATGACGGTGCTGGTGGAACCAAGGCGGCTGGTTATTTGCTATAAAAGTATAAGCGCTATTTGCCAGAAAAGCAAAGCACAGTTTGAAGTTTCAATAAAACCCACAGCTTTGTGTCTAATACACTTTTGCCCTCTGAAACTGGGACAGAATTTCTAGCTACAGAATTTTACAGGCTGCTGGAGAGCACGATGCTACCATTGTCTCTTCATTTTAGTCTACTTTCTGGAGGGTGTACAGGCAGGGGCTTCACTGTAGATCCCTAAATTCAAGAGCAGAGGAAGTGCCTGGCCAGAAAGAGAGCAGAACTATGCAAACATTGACTCAGGCACGTCTGCAGCACTTCCATAGCCCCCCTTCCCTAGAGCCGCAATGCTTTACTGCTATGACAGAAGATGCTCTATTAAAAGAATTCCATCCCAAGCACCTATGATTTCAGTGTCTCCTTGAGGAGCTGAGGTACTGAAACTACTTATAAGCTTAGAAACTGTTGTGTTTGCACATACTGCTTTTTTTTTTTTTACTCTGTGTTTTTCCCCAGCTGCTTATATAACAAAATGTAATTTTAACACATCTTCAAATCGCTGCAACTTATATCCACTTTGACTTATTATCTAAAATAACAACCAGCCCCATTTTATAATAAACCATTGTTTTAACTGCAGTTCTAGTTAAAAGTCTCTTCAACATACTTGTTATTCTGTACATCTGTCTCAAACAAGTGCTTGGAAATGAAAATGTATTCGACACCATCACTTTCTTGGCTTCTCCTTGGGCGGGTAGTGTCTGCAGTTTCATCACAAAAAAAAAAAAGAAAAAAAAGGAAAATATGCACAAAACAATATAATTCAAACCAGTTCAGGAAAAATGGAAAAGCACAAACTCTTTGTGCAATACTAAGCATAGCACTTCCCTCACTTCTGAAGCACATAAGGCTGCTCTGGATCTGGTAGGCAGCACACAAGCACATGACAGGATTGAGTTTTAAATGCATGCAGGAAAAGCAGGAAAAAAAACTATTGGACAAATATCAGTTATCATTTTTTATTAACTAGTGGAAAAAATCCAATAAAATGAGGACAGCTGAAAAATAAAAGGAACAGCAGTCCATAACAATTACCCCAGTCTTGCCTCTTGCTAAACTTATTAGCATATGAGACCATAAAGGGAAAGAAAGCACACCATTCTGATTTATAAAATGTAATGTTCATTAACAACTCTTGTAGCTATGGTATGTGAAGCATGGTAATAAAAAAAATAGGGCGTGAACTTGAAGTTTTAGTGCTTTTCTTTATCTGGTGATCAAAACAGAATTATATTTTTTTTCAGTAGTCTTGTATTATTTGCAAGTCTTACTTTCCCCCAAGTAGGCATAAGGGTTTTGCTTATAATTGAAACTTATTTGTGGGGCTGTCACTCATGATCAATGAACCCATTAAAACATCCTATTTCGAACAAGTTGAATACTACAGCATCATGTATTCTTCATCACATATGGACATACAAAACCTGCTTGCAGCAACACAGTCTTAAATGCCACTTGATATATCACTTTTCTTCTTAGGCTGACACAGTGGGAAGATTTCCAAGACAGGAACCCCAGTTCTCTCTCCAAGTCCTTACTTACTGAATTTCAGGGAGAGGGATTCCTTTACATGTTTGTTTTAACTTATAACCACAAATTTGGAAGAGAAAAGAGAGAAGGCAGCTTGATGAATACTTTTAGAGAAACTTTTAGAGAAATATTTTTGGGCAAATGATTGCATATACTTCAATGTGTTAAATATTTTGGGAACATCTAGCTTTTTTGTTGTTGTTGTTTTCAATACCCAGCTGAAGCAAATATATGCAAAAGAAATTACTTGCCAAACTAAACGCATTAATTTTTCTACTTAGCAAATTCATTAATACATATACACTTCACAGAATATCTGCACTTGCAAAAAACCTGTGACAGAATCTCCCAAATTCAGAATGTTGGAGCCATATTTTTGAAGGATTCCTATAGAAGGTAAAAGTAGAAAGCAAACCAAGAAATCAAAGTCTAAAACTGTTGAGCTCTCCGTATTAAAGAAAACCCAGTAAAGTATTGTAGAAGTTAATAAAACATCATTTTACTCAATTTTATAAAAATCACACTACTTCGTCAGAGAGAGAAAGAGGATAAAACATCCCCAAATCAACTATTTTAAAGCTAATCAAAGCGATTTCATTAATTTATTCACTGGATTAAACTGTTTATCATCAATCTTCCTTTTTCAGCCAAACAGATAAAGGCCAGTTTGCTGAATGCAAGCATTGGTAACAGAGTACATTTCACTGCTTTGCAGCCAAATCCAGGGTGTTCTTCAGCTGAGTTTCATTTACTAAACCTCACTGATATCAATTATGCTAAACTTGTACTGACAGTGTACTGCAATGCCTCTGAGCCAAAAAGCTCTATCAGTTTAATCAACACTATTTAATACAGAACTGCAGCAGCACTTTTAAAAATTAGAAAAGTAATTTGGATGCCAAGCATGCATTTAGAGACCCAAATTTGAAAGTGCCTTAAAGTTAATGCAATAATAAAGGCCAATAATGCAAGTATATCATTAGAGAACAGAAGTGCATTTTTACTTACGTGGCACTGTTACCCCGTAGTGCTGGGTATCACTGATTAGCAACTTCCGTTTAAGTTCATTCAGTCCAACCCCTACAGGACCTGAAAGAAAAAAGTTGTCTTGTTTCCCAAAGCCAATTGTCTCTTGTATTCAGGTGTAAGTATGTTCCAAAGTAAGACTACATAGCCTATGGGTGTGACATTACTGCCTTTTAACCAGTGATTTGGAAATGCCCATGGTTCCTGCCTCTCCTAGAATATAAAGAGCTGACAAATTTCAGGGGATGCAGTTGGCATTTACTCTGTTCTGACTTTATTACTGAGGAAATATCAGTAAAAAAAGTTGCCAGCAAAGTTGACTTTCTTTTCGGTAGGAACTACCCTCAGTGTGCACCCACCTCCATCTCAGCCCTACTACAAATGCCTGCATCCTAACCTGCATCTTTCCAGAATAAAAACTGGTTTGGCTGTCTATTTTGCCAGAATACCCCCAACCTGCAGATTAGAGGACCCCAGCTGCCATGTGCAAAGTGCCCCCAAAGCCTCTGCACTCTGTATGTGTCAGCAGGACCTCACTCCCTCCTGCTGCTGCATCCCTTGCCTGCACCAGATGCCCCTGGGGACAATTGCTTCCACCTTCTCATGCCCTGGGAGCACTGCTCCTTCCAGCCCCTGCTGCAGGCAGGAACACTGCCCAGCTCCTGGCTGCCTGTAGCTGTCACCATCCACCTTTCGACAGCGTGAGGGTGGCATTGCATGGAGAGAGGAAGGAAGGGTAGCACTTGCCAGGTCACAACCCATTTGGGATGTTTGAGTTTCTTTCTTTGTTGTTGATTTTCTTTTAAACTGTGCTTGTCTCCTGCCTGCTGTCTGAACAGGTCCAAAGCAAATGTTTCCTTCTTCATGCGACTGCCAGAGACCACTCTTGGAAAGAGGATGGCAGGAAGAAACAAAGACTGCACGGAATTTTTTTGACCCGTCGCCTCCACCTCCACTTGAGTAGTGCTGTACTAGAAGCTACTGAGCAAGATGTTCCTCTTGGCTTTCAAGCTGCCCCTAATTCTCAGCTGTTTGCCAGCGGTGCCTTAGGTCTCTGCGAGGGCACTCTGTCCTGTGAGGTCTCAAAGGCTCCACAGGCACTCGCTGCCTGTCCCCAGGAGCCCTTCATGCAGGGCTCCAGCCAGCCTGCCCACTTTGGTGACAGGGCCATTGCGCTGTGTGAGCAGCAAAGGGAACTCAGCTCTGCATGTTCTTACGTTTCTGACAGTGGAGAGCCTTCACTTCTACAGAGCCAGGTCAACAGCAGAAGGCAAAGGAGAATGAGTCATTGGAACCATATCCCAAATAATGCAAGGATAATACCTGCGGTTTTAAGGAAAATTCTTGCACATCTAGTAAAAGTGACACATTTATACATGAAGTGCTTCTTAACAAAGACACTTTAAACATTTTACCTACAAAACCTAATAAACATTTCAATAAAATAGTGTTGTAACTGCTACTTACTAGTCAGAGTCCAAAAACAGACTGATGCTTCAGTACCTTCAGGTGCCTATCTGTAAAAATGACCATACACCCTGTCTGGAGTTGAAACATATCATGATGAAAAGCAAGTGCTTGCCACTTTACTGCTACCCCCAGACTATGGTCCTGCTGTAAAATCTTAGCACTTCTACATTTAAAGTTTCTATGTGTTCACATCAGTTAAACACAGAACTACATTTCGAGTTCCATCTCTGACCTTCCTGTAAATTAATCTATCAGTATGTATAAATGTTTATTTAATATGGTGTACAGCAGCCTCTACTGGTGCATGTCTGCAGAGGACAGCAATGTGTTATGTAGATAATGGCATTATTTTTGTTATAATTTAATATTTTTCCTTTTTATAATAGTTTAGCTATTTATGGACTTTAATAGGAAAAGTAATTAAAACTCTTAATATATCCTAGCAAAGTAAACCAAAGCAAATGGAATTCAGTTTATAAAAACCACTCTATTACTTTTAAGCAAAATTCTTTCCCATCAAATCCACACAAATATTATTTCCTTATTCTACATGCTGTCAAATCAACAGTATGCTTTTAGCTCTATTTATATATATAAAGAGTCCAGGCTTCACTTCCTGCAACACATGCTTTGGAAACACAGCTTAACTCTGTTTCCAGACCACAGCGTCACTACTACAGTCTCCCCTTCCAGATTAACATTTTAAGATCATCTTTAAATTGAACTACTGAAAGGTGTAGATTCTTCTTTTTCAGTGCTGTCTTCACAGAGTTCTCATAACTGCAGCTTATGGACACTGAAGGCTGATTCCGGCTCAGCAAAGCCATCCATTATGTGGATTTTTATACTACCTCTCCCAAATGTAATATACAGTTCCCGTCTAAATATTCTTTTCATTTTGATGCAGCAGAGAAAGATGCCAGCTTCTAATAGCTATTAGAACACAATTTGAACTCAAAAAGAGAATAAAGTATCAGAATTTAAAAGGATAATCCTGACTCTTATAGTCAAATATAAGGTATGCAGGAGCCATGGCTGTAGTGTAGTTTTGATTTACCATAAAATCACCCCAGGCAGCAATATTTACAGTTATGCTGACAGATTTAGAGATGCTTTGCTTACTTTTTTAAAGGAACATTTGTGTTGTTTGCTGTTGTATGTTAAATCATGTTAATGGTCAAATCCAGCACAAGTGGACTGCAGTGCCTACCTCACTTTATTGAGAGACATCTGCAGAATTAACTACCAATCATTAAAACTTGCACTTGCAATTTTGAAATGCCTGAAGAAAACTGAAAAAACTGTAAGTTTAGGTCTTTGAGGGTTAAGCCAACAAGCCATTCTTCACCCATAGACATATAATGAACTCCTAGTAGTCTTTTCAAAAGAAAAGGAAAGTAGTCTTTAAGAACAGATTTTGTGAGTTAGATGACAATATCCCTGCTCACAAGAACCCAGTAGGAGATCACAAGAACCCAGTAGACCTGCCTTGAGAGAGGCTCTGTGGTTCAGTTCCCAGTACACTATAATGCACTGACTGCACATGCATGTCTGACTGCAGCTCAGTGAGGTAAGAAAGGAGAACCTCATTATTTTGTGTTTTAGTACATTTTAACAAGCAGTGGGAGTGTACTTCAAGATCTGCTGTTCAATGAAGTACGATCAGTGAGTTCATACTGGTGTTCTCATGGCCATGGTAGGCACTATGTTATATCCTATGTATTTGTTCCTGAACCTTGCTGCCTTCAACCAGGAAGTTCTAATGCAGATAGCGATTATAGGTCTCTTTCTTCATTGTCCAGTTAGTTTACTGGAAGTAGCATGGCCATGGTAGGCTATTCAGGCTTTGCTCTGAAATAGACCTGGCCTCATCATAACTTCTTCATTATAAAACCAGAGATGATGGATTAAAAAAAAAAATCTAAGCAATACAACAAATAGAGAGCTTTTCCAGTCCCAAATTCCTTTTCTTCTCAGTAGCGACCTGAAGCACATTTTTGTGGGAAATACTGACAGAAATACTCTCTCTCAATCAGAGACAGAGGTTTTTCTGATCATGTCAGACACCAATAACAACTTCTCCTTTATGGTTACACACCTCTCGTCCTTGCTTCCACCACTGCCCTCTTTGGACAGAGGCATCACCATGGGTGACCACAGCACCTGAAAGGCTCTGCATACCTCTGGTGATCACACTGCATGCACAGAACAGTGTGTGTTCTGGGGGATAAGTGCTCATGGTTTGTTACTGTCAACTTCACTCTATCCTGCCCCTTCAGAAAGCTCTGACTCAGCTGAAACTATGCCAGATAAAGTTACTGCACGTAGCACATTCATTCTATCTCCTAGGAAATAAAATTTATGCTACTCTGGCTCTTAAAATTAACTACAGCAGAAGGCTTTGTGAGCAGGACTTTCCCTCATTAATATAAGTGAAAATTCTAGTGTCTAAATACATGTCATATTAAAATATTCTATCTTCGTCTGATAGGACTGCGAGGTATGCAACATTAAGGATGCAGGCAATATTTGTTAGGGAAGACTTTAAGGATTTCTTGGCAGTTTGGGAACACTAAGCTACTAAAAACATACTGATGACACAATACTGGATAATTTTGATTTTAGCAGACTCATCACAATCCTAACATTAAAAGCACACGGAAGTGTTTGTATCATTACTGCTTCAGAAGATGCTATTTTAGCCCCAAGGTTTTGCAGGGCTTTATTAATGAACTTACATTTGCAGACGAGGTAAAATCTTGACAAACTGGTACACTGAGCTGAACCTGAGAGTAGTGTGTATCACACAACAGGGCACTGAGATTACTGTGTGTGCAATTCATGTTCTTTAAATTAGACGAGACCAATTCAAAATGAAGCGAAATATGTTTCAAAATTTTCAAACTCCCTCCCCCCAAAAAAGGCAAAACCAAACCTGAATGTCCCCTTTTAAACAGCAAATTATATATTTAGGCTAGCATAACACAACAGACATCTAGTGCCTCCACCAATTACAGCTATAAATTAATTATATGTCCCTTTCTTTCCTGGTACTACTGTACAAATTATATTCGATGTATTATATGGAACACTGCTACTGGCACACAAAAAGCTTTTAAAATGTGTTCGCTTCTACTATACCTGTATTGCTTAGCTCTGCTAGTTTTTCCACATTTTGCCCAATACATTTTTATGGTATTGGCCAGACTTAAGCTGCTCTTAATATCCAGAGAAAAAAACATTAGAATTACTGAAGTCCGCAATAAATTTCTGAATTGCTTTTGTTACTGAAAAAGCACTCTTTCTTCATTTGATTTATTACAATAAAAATCAAATGGAATCTCTAGGCATTCCTTAGATCAGACATATGCAATTTGTTATAAAAAGTCTACTTATCACACTTTTGCACTACACTCTGTTGATGTAACTGTAAAATCAACTCAACCATGTTATTACTTGTTGTATATAACCCACAATCTCACAGTGATCACACTAGTAGGTGGCTGAATTTTAGTGCTGGAGAGTGACAAAACTGTTTATTAAAAACTCAATTTAATGTTCCCTTGGATATGAGCGATATAAAAACACAGCTACTCAACAGTTCCTAACAGTCCCTGACAGAGGGTCATATTTCTCTGCTCTGCTGCTTTCAGAATGGAGGAAATTCTACTAATGAAGCATCAGCCTGTGTGTTACTGCCAAGGAAACAATAATCAATGAGACATTACTCACTCATAGCGATGGTTACTCATTACTCATTGGTACTCTACTTGTTACCTTTGAAAAACTTAAGATAATGAACTTTCTCTCTTTTCAGGAGACTGGAGCAATGCATTTTGATTATATAATAAATGCTATGAGGAAGCCATGGCAGTGACAGATTATGGAAGAACAGAAAGCTGACTATGGATAATACGTTAAGTCTTCCACAGCTATGCTTACATTCATCCTTGGCCTACAGAGGTCCACCTTGCATCCACCTTTCTTACTATTTGTCCATTTACTTTTTCTAAGGCAGCAGGTGGTTTTGTTTCTTTCCACTTTTATTGTCTTTCTTCATTGACCTAGGCATTTATCCTGTTTTTTCTTTTTTTTTTTTTTCCACATAGATATATTGATTGATCTTAAAGCATGGAATATCAATATAATTCTTTTGAGTTTTAGTACAGCTTGACTGCTGTGTTCAGATTTGTAAGCATGGTAGCTGTATTTTAATGTCAGCTCCCCATGGTTTAGGAAAGCTTTAAACACAATCTCCTAAAGCATCCTTATATGCAAGTTGGGACATCCTGTCTAGAAAGGTGGAATTCTAGACAGGTAAAAAACTGGAGCATGTTCAAAGGGAAGAGGTAACTGGTCTGTGCTCTACAACTCATTATAAGGGGAATTTCCTGGGACACGATCTGTTTCACATCCATACCAATAACACAAAGTAGGCCCTTCCAAAACTTGGCCACAGCAAGATGGGTGACACAAGTGACTTGCTCAATGGCAGGGCTTCCATCTGGAGAGCTCCAGGCATTGGCTGGCACAACTTAGTGAAATTTGATGAGGACAAAGTTCGGCATTACAGATTGGGGATGGGGATTGACTGGCTGGATGACAAGGACCTTGGGGTTGTTCAGGTGGGCAGAACTAAGCATGAGGCCCCAGTGCTTGCTGGCAGCAATGCAGGGTAACGAGACTGGGCTGTATCAACAAGAGCCTGGCCCGGAGACAGAGGGGAATGATTCTTCCCCTTCACTCAGCACTTGTCAGACCCTTGTGAGAAATACTCTGTCCACAAAAAGCCCTATACTAAAATACTGTTGATAAACTGGATCAAAGAAATCAGAGGGCCTCAAAGATAGTCAGGAGTTGAACCATGTGACCTGTAAGAGAGACTGAGGGCATTGGGCTTGCCTAGCCTGGGGAAGAGATGTCTTCAAGGGGCCCACCAGCACCCTTCTGACACTCACCAAAAAGTGGAGGCCACCACTTTACTGAGGTGTGAGCTAAGACAGAAGACATGATAGGTCTTTAGGGAAGAGAGGTTCCCAAAGTTGCTGCCATCAGCAACCTGCTCGGTAGCTGGTGTTAATCTCACTCAGTGGGAGGCTGGACCAGGTGAACTCCTGAGATCCCTTCCAGTCTAAATGATTTTCTGGTGAGCATTGTGCTGATCACCAGGTCTCTGTTTTACCAGGTCAAAAATAAAGAAAATAACTTACCAACCAAAACAACAAGCCTGTATTTGTCATTGGGTTGTCGTCTATATTTTGCAACTTCTTCATAGGTTGGGATATCTGCTGTATCATACTGATCACTCTTCTTGCACTCATACATGGACTTGTTTGTTTTTTTATCTTTTCTGCTAAGACGAAAGCTTCTTCTAAAACCAGCTGCAGTAAGAACAGGGTTTTTTCAAAGTAAGAAAATAAGTCTTCTTAAAACATTTGAAAATAGTCTCTTCCAAACATTCAAGGATTGGAGCATGGAATAAAAAGTGTATTATATGTTTAATAAGCCAGGTCATTGGAATGACATTTCCCATGTTTTTAAGCTATATCAGGTACCTATTTAAATTGCAAAATAAAGATTACCACTGAAAACATAACCTTTTCAACAACAAACTGCAAAATATAATTGCAATAACTTGTTAATACATTTAGATTATTTAGACAATTTGAATATCTTATAAATTGATATATATACACAAGGCAATTCATGCAAGCTGGAGTCTCATACCACATCTAATGCATGTCTATTAAATCACCATGGCACACAGATATCAAATACAACATAGGATAGAAACACATCTGGTGGTTGAAAGAGTTCATGAAAATTAACTCCTTGAACAATTCTGTTGTGCTTAGCTCCATGCTGATAGTACATTTAAAAAGTACATTAAACCTTTCCTGAGTACATTTAATAGTCAATACAAGCACTCATAGTTAAATTACAAAATAGTAGAAACATCTTAGACAATACAGTACCCATATTATGAAATTGAAGTTAATATTGCTATTAAATCTATAATTGCATCAACCATGTGATATCTATTGTGCCTTCTAGGGAAAGCTTGAAATTTCACATCGCTTTTAAGCACTCTCAAAGGAGAAAAGCAGAACAGCACCAAAAACCTGTTTTAAACTACATGTTAAAAACTAATTTACTCCTCTGTTAATGATTACCTTAGCTTTTCAGCTAAATCCTTTATATTGCATTACATTAAATTTTACTGGTATCTCTACAACACCGCTTTTGTTCTATAAGGAAATATAGGAAAGACTGTGAAGACTGCAAAACGAATTTCACTATCTGGTGGTAGAGTAAAACACAAGCTTCAAATACTGGAAAAGTTGTTTTCCCCAGAACACTTCATAGGACAGTAAAGTCTAAACTTCTGGTGATCTCAGATTTTCAGTGAAATGTTTTCACATTCTTAAAATAGCATTTATGTTTAGGTGTTTGAGAAGTAATCATATTACAATTTCTTCTTCAAAGGTAGTATCGTGCAAGTTCAAGATTCAGTTCTGCTAATTTTTAGCACCAGATCTGAAGAGAAATGCTACAAGGCTTAGTTATAGGCTTAGTGTTTTGCACACATAAAGTTTCATTGAGCACAAATTGTCAAAGAACCTGGACTATAGAGGATGTTAACCAAGTTATTTAATTGATATAAGCCCCTATACCTTTCTACAACAATCTACAACACAAGCATGCACACAAAAGGTGAAGAAAAATTTCTTTGAAAATACCATGATGTCAACCTATTAATATTCAAAATCCGAGTAAGTAAACAGAAAATCTATGACAAAGAAGAGCTAGCATCCACAGAAAGGGCAGATGATATTTTTAAGAAGTACAGTATAGTCTAGATTAAGTAGGAGGTGGGCTGGAATACAAAAAAGATCAAAATACGAGAAATGAAAACACAATGAAATAGACTGAGTTATGTTATTTTATTATTTAAATAACACTAACATTGAAGTGACTGCAGTCAGAGATAGAAATCTCTGTTAGAGAGCTTACACAACAGGGCCTGGGAGATCTTGCCTGCCCTATGGTAAAGTCCATCATGACACAAGGATGTTCCCTTGATCATAACTACGCCTAAGTGTACAGACAGCCATATAAAGAAAGGTCACAAGTAATTTTAGCAATACAGACTACAGACACATGAAGTGAGTTACAAGTTTCCTGAGGCCTCATCTAAAATGCTCCTTATTAAAAAAACCCGAAAAAACAACAAAAAAAGTTGCCCCAAAACCGGAAAATTATTTTGCTTGTTGCATTTTTTTTTGTTTGTTTTATAACCATTTTATGGAAAAACAAAAAGAGAGAAAAAATAAAGAATAATTCTTCACTGTTCACTACTAAATGGTTTACAAAATTAAGAGCTTTGTTACAAGACCAAGAATCCATGTTCCTGGAAAAGGTAAAAAGTAAGGACAATGATCAAATGAAGCTACATCAATGGTCTCCATTCCAATTTGGTGCTGACCTTACAATTAACAACAGCTCCCTGCCCCTGATCAGCTGTCTCAAAACGCCAATAGAATAGCTTCTCAACCTCCACTTAAATGGTAAACTGTGAAATCTTTAGGAAAAGTAATTTTTCTGCAAAATCTTCCTATTAATTCAATCCCCATTTTTAGATTTTGGTAAGAACATTTGTAACTTGTTCCTCTTTTCTCCAACTAGTTTATTCAGATCTCATTAGCAAACGATCAGATGGTAGATTATTTAAGAATTTTCATTTTCTTTACTCCTTGAAAAAGAAGAAAATCTTTCAGCTCTGTCTTCAGGCTGATTTGTCCCTTGTCACTTTTACAGGCTCCACAGAAAACATAACAAAGACTCAGGTGATATGATTCCAATGCTAACATGTGTTTCCTTGAATAAAATATTTGATATTTCTGCTACTGAAACTCACTGGTAAAATGAAAATAGTAATATTGTCCTATATATTAAGAAAGCTCAACAGGACGTTCACAACCAGAACTTAGACATTACAGAAAATAAAAGATACTAATTAAAAAGAACAAATGTGAGAAAAAGATAGAAACCAGAGTAAGGCTGACTTCTCTGCAGTGTGCTGGTGAAGATGCTCTGTAAAACTACTGACTACTGAAAGTCTGTGATATGCTATTTGTTTTGCCACTTTATGACTATTTCAATCTGAAAGTTTTTTAAACTGTTCCTCAAAGTCCATCTGAACAGCCCCATATAGAATATCAAGAAAGTTTGCTTTAAATAGCATTCAAACCCAAGGAAAACCTACAGTTCCAAGAGGAAGGATGAGACTGTTTCAAATATATCCAACACTTTTATGATACTGCTGCTGCATTCCTGAACACATCTTCATTCTTCATCACTCATCACCTGTTATAAAATGTCCTTTTATATATGGCTTAAGTTTACTGTGACCTAGAAGCTGTTTTATAGAAATGCAAATAAATATTTTCTATTCAATGTCTGCATTTGTAATTGCATTTTATGTTGGGAACTATGACTGCACAAAAATATTAAGCTGAACTGAAACAATATTGTACTTTTAAGCAATAAAAATATTTGTGAAAAGGCAAAAAATATTCTACTAATGCTTGCATATTTTATAGTTTTGAAAACATGAAAACCAAACTTCATATATTTAAATTAACAATAGAGCATCATTAAAAATATAGTGACAATTACTACAGAGAACCAAACCCAATGCTAATATACAATAGAAAAGGTTTCTATAAAATGATTTAGGTTAAAAGTAAATTTCTATAAAGAACAAAAGGAAAATGTATTGCTTGCCTAGAATATTGGATAATATAAAACTTCATGAATATGAAAGGAACTGCAGGCTACACTGTCTGTGGAATATGGGTATCAGCAGAGATTATTCTTAGTTGCCAAGTATGCAGACTATAAAATAAAAGGGAAAATTCTGTCACTAAAGCGACATAATCTCCTGAACACGGAGCAGCTTGCACCAGCTCCCTGGTTACAGCTACACGACTAGAAGCTTACTGAACATGCAAACCCATAAGCTACTGCTGGAATGTAACAGATTTGGTGAAATAAGAGCAGGCTCTGGGAAGAAAATATTAAGAACAAATGTTCTCAAACTGCTGATGTCTTTAAAACTTGTACTTCTCAATATGAAATAAAAAATTATTACTAGTAACCTTAATCAACGCCCAACAATCAAAGAGAAATCACTTAGATCTCCAAGAATGAAAAAAACACGTTAGAAGAAAAGTTTGATTATTCTTATAACCATTAGCATTATACATTTTGTCATCTCAGAACAACATCCTTACACTTACACAGAGAAATCCAGTGGGGTCTCACAGAGAAATCCAAACTGAAAACAGGTAATGTGTGAACCTCCCTGCCTTGCAATATTCTAAAAGGATGATGATGATGTAAATAGCTATGATTATTTACATTTAATGCCATAATTCTGAAGAAGTATATTGCGACTATGTTATGTAAATTTCAGTCCAAACATACTAATAAAACCAGAAAGCTAATTTCTCAAATTCTGACAGACTACACTAACAGGAAATAATAAAATATAGATTCATGCATGCTTCATAAATTCACAAGTAAGACTCCAGAATTCTATAAAGCACTTACACAGACTTTTGTTAATTTTCATTCATTAAAATAAGTGCTTAAGTATGTGTTTAAATTACATATTTTCTTCACTGAACTTCATTTCATCTTAGAGTGAATAACTTCTACTTAATTGTAAATGCATTTAAGAGTTCCCTTTGTATTCATATTACTGACAAAAGTTAAGTTGGTACCATGGTCATTTGGTCATGGTCATCTAGGTTTGTATGAACATAATATTTTTACTAGATATTTACAGATATTAGTTCTCCCCCAAAATATTGGGGTTTTTTTTACACTGTCTCGTATACTGAGGATTTCTATTGTTACACAGGAACTGCACAAACACAGAGCAGACTTCTTGCTCTGTTTGCTTCTGGACTGATTCCCAGCTTGCACATTTAGACAGGGTTAATAAAAATTTAGATTATGTCTGGATTTTAAAGATGAAATTGAGAATAGTAAACAGATGATATTCATCTATATTTACGGTATGTTCATAAAGGTTCAAGCAATGTAACCAGAATTTAAGCTTGGCAAAGGCAAACTCCTAACGTTTTCCTCAGCAATTCCTCAGGAAATTACAGCAGAAACATACGATACTATACTGTGGCTTAAATATTAGAATTTGGTGAAAAATCATTAAATTTATCTGAGTCACTTTAGAGGAGAGGGTTCAAATTAATAGCAGTATAGCCTTGGATATAAAAGATTTGACCCCAAATGGTTCAGACATTCTGCCTTCTGAACACTTTTCCTGTGCTCTTCATGACCACCTTGTGTGTGT